CTGCTCCATAGCAATTGTTGTTATACAATTCCATTCACCATAAAGATGGCTTTTTGAAGCATTTCTTTATCCTTCTGCTGTGCTGAAGAAGAATTCCATGAAACAGTGGGTATATCCAGAATCACTGTTCACTACGTCTGTTTGTGGACCACTTCGGCAGTGCTGGACGTCATAAAGCAAAGCTTTATGGCTTGTTTCCTCCAGATAAGAATCTGACCCATTGCTTCTTTCAGAAATTTGCATAGCCCACAAAGACTTTCAGAGACCTATAAGATTTATGTTTATTTGGTTCTATGTTTTCAATAGAATCCATCAAGAGTGCATATTCTGTGACTTTCGGCGATTTAGAAGAATTTATTTGGTTTTGCAGAGAGTGCATATTTCATATTGTTTAATGTTCTGTATAGATTATATAAAGAATTTATATTGACATTGCATTGTTGCACTTGGTCATCATGTTGCCTTCGGATACTACCAATTTTAAAACTTGGCAAACCAATGTTTACCATGCAGATGAATTAAGCTCAGTCTGCCTTGCTGCAATTGCAGCGACCTAACTCCAAATGTACAAACCTGAACCATTATGTTGCCCGTAGACAATCAAACTCTGTACATAAAACTATAAGGTCATTTTTAATAGCATACAGATAAAACCAGCAGGCTTTGAAAACCAGGATGCATGACTAAGGCTGCGATCCAGTCCCCAGCCAGGGACTGGTGGAGTTTAAACAAGTGACCGAGCCATGGCTGTATCCACAGCCTTGCCGCTCATTCCGGCTGAGGCAGAAGGCAGGAGCTGGCAAATTGTTGTGCCTGCCTAGGGCTGGCTGATTCCCCTCCTCTGTCCTGGGATGGCAGGTTTGGGGACTTTTCATGGGCTGCCACTAACAAGGATCCTCTCCACCTGCATGTTTGGCAGGTGGAGCTGTGGATTCTGTGCTGCACCAACGGAGGCCAGTAAAGGAGAAATTGTATGTCTGGAGAGACCTTCTGAAGATGCCTGCCTACCCTTGTTGTGATTGTTAATGGTGTGGCTGTTGTTACAGCACATCTTCCGGTTGCAAGTTAAATAAGAAGTGGAAAGTGACACCTAGTGTTGGCTTGGAAGGTTTCCCTTTACTATCAACCATCTATAGGAAGTTTATTTAATGCTCCCCTGCACTCCAGGAGCCACAAACGAAGACCCACTGTTGTGTACAAGATTAAATCGCTCAACCCCAATTAGTACAAGGCACGCCTCACAAATAGATGCACTAGGCAGTAAATTGGGGGGTGAGGAAAGGAAGGGGTGGGGACCCCTAAGGAAGGGAGGAGGCACTGAAATATGCAGGAAAACCCTGCTTTTTAAAATTCCTCATCTCCTGCAATGCTTGCAAAATACGTTTGGTGTTGGATTGCGGGGTGCGTGTGCATGTGTGCTGCCCTCAGATTGCTGGAAAATGTGAGAGGAGGGAATACAGTGGTACCTCAGGTTACATACGCTTCAGGTTACAGACGCTTCAGGTTACAGACTCCGCTAACCCAGAAATAGTACCTCGGGTTAAGAATTTGCTTCAGGATGAGGACAGAAATCGAGGCCCCATTAGCTAAAGTGGTGCTTCAGGTTAAGAACAGTTTCAGGTTAAGAAGAGAGTTTGGATTTGATATCCCACTTTATCACTACCCGAAGGAGTCTCAAAGCGGCTAACATTCTCCTTTCCCTTCCTCCCCCACAACAAACACTCTGTGAGGTGAGTGGGGCTGAGAGACTTCAGAGAAGTGTGACTAGCCTAAGGTCACCCAGCAGCTGCATGTGGAGGAGCGGAAACGCGAACCCAGTTCACCAGATTACGAGTCTATCGCTCTTAACCACTACACTACACTGGCTCTCTAAGAACAGACCTCTAGAACGAATTAAGTTCTTAATCCGAGGTACCACTGTACTGGCATTAGCTCAGTGGTAGAGCATCTGCTTTGCATGCAGAAGGTCACAGGTTCAGTACCCCAAATCTCAACGCAGGATTAGGCATGCTCCTCTCTGAACCCTGGAGAGCCCTTGGCAGGTTAGGTAATACTGACCTGGATGGACTGAGTATGAGGCAGCTTTCTATGCTCCTGACACAGAGATGGGGAGCCCTCACCCAGCCTCTGACACTTTTGCCAGCCCCACCCTGAATTGTCTGGCAAGCTCCCTCCCCCACCCACCCAAAGCATACACACAACTTAAGGTGCAGAGAGCAATGGCGGACTCGGTGGCTTTGGTAGTTTAGTCAGGTGCAAAGGAAGCAGGAGTAACTGAGCTTTCTGTACTTGTGTGTTAGGAGTAGAACAGGCAGCTCTTGAAATCCTACAGCCTGGGAACCTATTGAGCAAGGAGACCAGAGGGTGGAGCCCAGAACAAGCCAGAAGCAAAGGCTTTTGGTCCTGTTTTCGGGCGCCTACAAGAAAAACCAAACATTTTGAGTGTGTGTGATGGGAGTCCAGTGCAAAATTAATAGCTGGGAGGTGAGATCCAACCTTGCCCCTTGCTTTTCTGGTATCTCCCCCATCCCAAGCAAAAATGTCTGGACAGTCATGGTTATGGGGAGGGCATGAGTGCTAACTGTGTGGTATAGAGGTTAAAGTGTCAGACTATGAGCTGGGAGACCAGGGTTCAGCCACAAAGCTCACAGAATAACCTTGGGCCAGACACATCCTCTTAGAGCAGGCATGGCCAAACTTGGCCCTCCAGCTGTTTTGGGGACTACAATTCCATCATCCCTGACCACTGGTCCTGTTAGCTAGGGAGGATGGGAGTTGTAGTCCCAAAACAGCCGGAGGGCCAAGTTTGGCCATGCCTGTCTTAGAGTAGGCTAAAATAGAGTAGGCTAAAATAGGGAGGGGGAGAATCGTGGACACCTTCTTGAGCTCCTTGGAGGTTGTGTAGGATATAAATGTAGAAATGAATGAATGAAATTAAAACATGACTCCTTCGAACAGTCTAGGCCCTTTGGGTGGCATGAATGGAATGTCTGCAAGTGTACTTCAAACCAGGAGCTCAAAACTGAGAAAAGTTTGCAGAAATGTGGGCCCTTTTTGTATTATGTGGCCAGTCTGAGAGGTGCAATACAACCTCCACTTCTACAGAGATCTTTTGGATTAGATTTATTACTGAGATACCTCTGGATAAGCAGCCCCTTATGGTTGTTGCTAACGGGATAGATTTTGTGTGTTTGTGACTTTTCTCTTTTAACGTTGTGAATTGATGTGCACTGTATAGTTATTGTTGTGCTTACGCTAAAGTTCTTCTTAGAATTATATATTGTATGATGCTGTGATGTTATGGATTTATAAAAATTGACTTAAAAAGAAAAGAAAAAGAAAATGGAGAAATGAAGACTGCGCATGGGAACAGAGAAATGGGCATCATTAGTTGCTGAGATACCGAGGAAGGTATTTGCTTATGAAAAGCTATATTGTGAAATTGTCTGCCCCAACAAATTTCTTTGTAAAGCACATATCTCCTCTTCCATTCAAGAGCATATGGGGACAGCAGGAGGGAGGGAGAAATGTTATGACACAACCTTCTCTCTCTAAACTCTGAGAAAATAATGTTGTCATCAGAACTCTGACACCACATCCTTGGAATAAACCTCCTAGCAAAATAATATCCCTTTGTAACCACAACTGTCCTCTCAATGTCATCAGTGGTTAAGATTCTAATGGAGAATGGGGCAAGAGAAATTGACCATGAACAGTGCGAGGTTAAAGGCAAAAAGAAATGTACTGCCACAAATGTATAGTACTGTGAATTGTAGTTTGTTAAGGGTGCTGAGAGTTGCTAGGAGACCTCCTGTTCTTCTCACATAGCTACAGTTCCCAAAGTTCCCTCTGAAGAGGTATTGGTTGTTAAACCACTCTGAGAATTGTAGGGGAATTGTGAGTGTTTTATCTGTATGCTGCCCTGGAAGCCATGACTGAAGGGTATCTCCCCAAATGGACACGAGGCTGATGAAATGGACCACTTCCACAGGGTAGCATCCCTGTGCGCTGCATCTTTAAAACCATGGGTTAAAACCATCCTGGAGATGGAAGCTCTGCCTTCGTCTGTAGCATTTCAGGACTTCATCCTGAAAGCTGCCAAGTCTCTTTCACAAGCTGCCTGAGAGAATAGCAACATGGCAGGAGCCGCCCACAATTCCTGGCCTGCTTCAGGATCTGTACTGGGAGGAAATGGTGCTTCTGTGGAGATCCACTCTTTATCAGGGGCAAGATACCCTGAACCACCACTGGCATCAGTCAGCTGCACTGAAAGAACTGTAATGTATACCTGAGCTTGCCCTTCCCTCCTCCTGCCCATTCCCTTTTCCTTATGTGCTGTGTCTTTTTGTATTTCGTAAGCTTGAGTCCAGGGACCATCTAAATACTGATTTTTGGCAAGCCGCTTTGAGAGCCTGTTTGACTTAAAGGCAAGATGCAGATGCCACAAATAAACAAACAGAAAGTTGCTTGTTCGCGTTGAGTTTTCCAGTAGTAAAATTCTACAGAGCCAGTTTTTCGATCAGCACATAACTGGAATGTTGCCTGCTTCTTCTGTCATCTTTTATGAACTGTAATGTCCCACAAGATATGAATGCTCTTGTTTAAAAACATTTTTTATTTCAGTTCCAGACTGATGGATGTAGTGCTATACAGCCTCATATACACAAAACAAAGTCAAAGGAAGAATGGCAAAGAGCTTGTTCACAGAATCAAGCTGACTGGTTAAAACACACACACTCAAAGACTCTCACACTCACTAAATGGATCCACACACAGGGGGAAAAACCTGCTATAAATAAGTCAGAAATTAGATTGTTATAACAAAAGGGGAAAAAAAACCTATGGAAAATCACGTAGAAAAAAAATTCCGCTCTCTGGCGCCATCTGGTGTTGCATGTTTATAATGCATTCAAATCATTGGTTTTTTTGACTAATGTAGCTGAGCCCACTCACCTCAGCCTGAAAAGCAATATGAGTGCCACACCCCATAGTCTTCTTTGACTGGACTTAACAGTCCAGGGGTCCTTACCTTTACCTTACCTTACTCACTCTCTCTCTCACACACACATATAAAACCAAACATCTGCAGTATAATTTTTCATGGAATGCATTTTCCCCACAGTTCAGAACCTGATCCAGAGCAATCAGCACCAGAAGATGGAGGTGGTGGTCAAGACCCGCATAATTCTTTCACTCCAGATGTTGAATTCGAACTGCAGTGGTCCATTGAAAAAATATATGTAACCTGCAGAGGAAGGAAACCATTCAGATAAGATTCCTGCTTCATGTTGCTGCTATTTCTTTTGGTTTATGTTATTTCTTTTTTAAAACAGTAAATCAAAAAGCATTCCCCACCCCCTGCTCACAAAGCAATTTGTTGATTAAGGCTGCACTCCGAGCCTCGGATTGACTTCACCCTGGGAAGCAAACTCCATTGTCTCTCGAGATGGATGCCAACAAGCCCCACTGAATTGAATATGATTTACTTATGAGCAGACAAATTGGGGATTGCATTGTGAGGCAGGCATGTACAACTGTAAGGTCCCACTTTACAGGGAGCAGTTCTGTTTGAAAGACAATATTTTCTTTGAAGATATCCTCTGTTTGAAGGGCTGTTGTGTTCAAGTTGGTTTTAATGATAAGGAATCCTTAGGAGAGAGAGTGGCAGGTACCTTGATGTTGCCCATCAACACTTTTTTTGGCCATGCCCCACCTAAGCATCTCTAAAATCCTGATGCCCACCCCCAGTGACATATAATTCTTATGATTCAGAAAGTGAAGCCTAAATGGCCATTCACTGTTAATAACTCATTATCGAATCCCCCCCCCCCAAATCAAATTGCCCCCCTGTGGGGCGTGTTCCCCACATTGGGAAGGAAGGGCTTGGAGGATTTCCCTTTACTACCGATGGCCTGATTCTGCATGAGGCAGCTTCCTGTGTTTCTTTGACTAGCTATCACTTTAATTTCCACAGCCTCCCAGAGCAACCCTACGTCAGTACAGTCATGCCTTGGTTTTCAAACAGCTTAGTTCTCAAACATTTTGGCTCCCGAACATCACAAACCCAGAAGTGACTGTTCTAGTTTGTGAACTGTTTTTGGAAGCTGAACATCTGACCGTGCTTCCGCGGCTTCTGATTGGCTGCAGGAGCTTCGTGCAGCCAATCAGAAGCCGTGCTTTGGTTTTCAAATGTTTTGGAAGTTGAATGGACTTCTGGAATGGATTCCATTCAACTTCCAAGGTACCACTATAATGAGAGAAATTAAAATGGTGGCTAGACAAGGCTGTCTGGCATGGTTTGGAGCACTGGGCCAGAAAAAACCCTGAAGGGTCCCCCAAATCAGGCATCTGGAACAGGCCAATCTGGGACCCCGGTTTTTCACCCCAAAATGCCAGGGTGTCAACACAAATAAAATGCATACCATTCTTCTCATAAGCTGCATCCACTCGGTGACCGATCCCAGGGAAATCTTCCTCAATATATCTAGGGTAGCCTTTCTCCATAACTTGGTTCTGTTCGTCATAACTTCATTTGAGGGGGAAATAAAGTAAATAAGCAAGTGTTTTATTTATGCATAGCATTATGCATTGCAATTCTGTTCCAATTCAATGCAGCTGACGACAAAACACAAACATAAAAAGTCTAAAATCCAGACCAATAAATGATACCATAGAACTAAAAAGACAGGATACAAAAAGGGTCAGCATTTCTAGCAGCAACCTGTAAATTCTTGCTAGAACAGAAGCATATACTGAAAATGGCTGAGGGCGCATCATCTATCTCTATACAATATTGAACATTAAATGGAGGGAAGTTCCTTGAAGCAGGTGCTGCTTTGCAAGAGAATTCTTCCCCACAATACCTCACACTCCAGAACAGGTAGGAGACACATGGCCAACCCCAGGGGTCTTCATCCTTGGGTTCCCAGGTGTTGCTGGACCAACTCCCACCATCCATCACCTGTGACTAAGTTGGCTGGGGATGATAGGAGGTGTGGTCACACAACATCTGGGGGCCCAAGGTTGAAGAACATTATTCTACCCTATTCAGAAATGTTACGTAGTGCAGATGCCAGGAGCTCAAGCTAGCTAGCATGTGCAATATCAAGGATGCGACTACTAATGGCGCATTCCTATGTGGGGATAATTGTGTTAGTTTTCCTGACCACAATGCTAGGGCTTCAATTCTGGGTTCTGATGTTAGTTTCACACGGCACTACTTGCTCCGTTATGGATCGCGATCAATATACCTCCACGCCGTGCTAAATTTTAAATGCTGGGAAAGGACCATATGCTGGAATACTGCCCCAAATTTTGTCATGTGAAATTAAAATGAAAAACTATGGTTATCTGGGTTAACGGGGATGCAAACGGATTTTCCCCTAGAAGCAAATATCCTGGAAATGAGTGCTAAATGCCCACTAGGCTCTGCTAGTTTTTCAGAAGTGGCTTTTACCTAATGTGAAAAATCACATAAAACATGGAAACAATGGGTAAGGAAATGTGGTGAAAGTGGGGGGAAAGTGCTGCCTGAGTGTTCCCTCAGTGTGGGTCCTCCCTTGTTCGCCCATTGGTCTACCACAGCGCTACTCAATGTGGTGCCTCCAATTACTGTTGGACTTCAACTCCCATCATCCCTTACCACGAACCATGCTGGCTTGGGCTCATGGGAGCTGGAGTCCAGCAACATATGGAGGGCACATGGTCAAACACATGAGTACATTGAAATGTAAGTCTGTAGAATAGGCCTCATCAGCTTATCTCAAGGACTCATTGTTGTAGGCTTTAAGAGTGACAGAATGCAGAAAATGCCATTGAGTTAATACCATGGCCCCTGGCCCCATATTTCTATATTTGGAGGAGCCAAACCAATGACAAAAAGTTGTTTGGTACAATATGCAAAATGTGGTTCTTACATCATTGGAATAGTGGGAAAGAATGAGAAAGAAACTATGGGGAAGATAAGAATTTTCAACATACCTCCAGTATTTTTCTCCAGCGAAAAAGAGAGTCTTGCCAGTGTCTTTGATGTGGACAGCAGCATCGACTCCCTTCACAGATCTTGGAAAGCCCAATTCATAAATCTTTTTAGGGTAGCCCTCTACTATGTCGTAGGCATTCAAAGCCCAGACTTTCTTCCCTGCGGATAAGTATGAATTAATGTATTAGGATTCAACCATGTGATTGTCATATAGCCTTAGGCATGTTGATGTCTCACCCTCAGTTCCCCTTCTGTAAAAATTAAACAGATTTAATTCACTGAAATGAAGTTAGGATGGGTGGGATTGGTACAACCACACAATTATACAGCCTTGTCGGTGGCATTCCTTTCTGAGAAAACTTCTGGGGGCCCCAGCCAGAGGTGGGTGGGGCTGGAGGAAAGAACAACAAATAGACTTGTTTCTGCACAGACTCCCATGCCCCTCTCACTGAGGATGCAAAGCAAGGGCAGTAAGGGGCATGGCCGGTGGGGGGGGGAGGGTGTGTGGTGTGAGAAGAGTCTTGAGGATCAGGCAGAGAGATTTCTGCAGAAGACCTACCCCTGAAAAGCAGCACATGGTCATTGGTAGGATGCTCATAAGCCGCGTCAATCTTGCTTGGGATCTCTGGCCAAAACGACTTAATTTGTACCAAATCCGCCTCAACCATCTGAGGATGTAGGCGCCAGAAGAACCTATGATAGGAAGAGGATGTTCTAACATGGTAGGCTAGCATTTTTACTGAAGTTAAAGATGTTGAATAGTCCTTAAAGTGCTCCAGAAATTAATTTGCTGGAGCCAGTTCTCAGACAACACAAATAATATACAAATATAATAGTTGACGAGTAATTCTAAAGTCAATCATTCAAGGTACAAAGCATGTTTCTTGCCTGGAAGCTATTCCCAAGAGCTTGTGTTAACAGATCCACTAATCAGGCTCATCTTCAGTGTTTTGGAGCAAGTCTTCACAACATTCCTTGTTGCAAAGTAATTTGTGAGGCACCAAGGCAAATGCAGCCCACTAATAAGGACTCCCACTAATAAGGACTACTACATTTAAAGTAGTATCATAAAACGTTAAACAGTCATGGCTACCCCCAAAGAATCATGGGCACTATTAAGGGTGGTTGTTAGGAGACCCTACTCATCTCATGGAGCTACTGTTACCTGTGAAGAGGAATTGTTAAACCATTCTGGAAACTGTAGCTCTGTGAGGGGAATAGGGCCTCCAGTACCACAGGAGAACCAGATTCATCCTGCTAGAACAGGCCAATGACCCATCTAGTTCAGCATTTTGCTCTCACAGTGGTCAACCACAGATGTCTCTGAGATGCCTCCAAGCAGGACCTAAGCGCAACAGTGCTCTCCTCACTTGTTTTCCTCAGCAACTGGCATACACTCTCTGGCAGTGGAGGTAGAGCACAGCCACCATGGCTTCAGCACTGGGTAATAGGAGTACTTGGATATTAATGGTCTCCCTAGCTTGCACCAACACCACCAGACTTTCCTCTTTTCCCAGAACTTACGTTGGGGCTTGGCTATTCAGTCGTATGCTATTCACTGCAACATATTATACTGTTTTCAAATGTGGCTTTGTATGTTCTCGTTCTCTCTCTCTCTATATATATATATTATTGAAAATTTTCAGTAGGGATTAAAGTGAAGAGAAATCAAAACAAGAGAAAACAAAACAAAATCGAAACCAAAAATAAAATAAAATAGTGCTTGTATGTTGTCTCTTAACCTCACTGTGGTTACCCTGCAGTGCTGTTATTCTCTTTTTATTTGTACAATGCCTACAGAACTGTCTGCAGTCATGGAAATAATAGAATGAATAAATGACCCTTAAGATGAGAATTGGGTTGTTTTTGTTGTTTTTACAAAGGTGGCCCTATTCAACCTTTGCAATGTTGGAGGATGTGTGTGGCTGGCAGAGTGCATCTGACTGGGTGTTGCACAGGCCTGCTCTGTCACGAGACAAAAAGTTTATGGATGCACGTATTTCGGTTGTGCCGCACCTGTCCTTGAAGATCACCATTTCTCCTCGAAGCTCCGTGATAGCATCTAGTGTCAAGTTTGCATCACATTTCTCAGGCGTTTTGGGGTGGTCGGGATGGGGGTCGTGGTCTCCTGCACCTGTCCAGAAAAGTACATGTGTTATGCAGGACACTATAAGCCTGTTGATTGTATTTAGTAACACAGAGCTGAACATTGGTTCAATATAGCTTAGCATTTTCCACACCGATTGGCAGCAGCTTCCCAGGATTTCAGTCTCTCCCAGCTCTACCTGCATGAAATGAGGATTGAACCTGAGGCTTTCTGTATGCAAAGCAGAAGCTCTATCATTGAGCAATGGTCCTTCCCTTATTTTAACATCTGAACTTGTGCGCAGCATTTCATGGGATCTAATATATGGAATGCTCAAAGAAAATTGTGATTTTATATGTGCAATGTAAAGTCATACAGTGGCAGATCTCGCCGCATCAGGCTGGTGAACAGAAACAACAGGGAAATTTATTACTCATAACTTCCATTGCAGAATTATTATATGTACACATAAGGAGAAAACAGGGGGGAAATGCAGACATACCATATAGAATCTGGATCCCTTGTACGTCATCATCTGGAAGCAATAAGCCTTTATTTCCCGTGTATGTGTAAATTGGAAACATCAAAGCTCCTGGGTCTCTGGAATGCTCAAGTCCCAGCGAATGACCAAACTCGTGGGCAGCCACAAGAAACAAATTATATCCTAGAAAACAGCATGTGCATCTTGTTATGAAAGCTACAAAGCTTGTATCACTAGACTGCTTTAGTCTGATTCTTTTGTTTAATACCTCCTTTTGCAACGTATTAAAATATTACACCTGATATCATTCACTACTCTTTTCTTTGCATTACAGAGAGAACAGAAATAGTATCTGTCACCTGTTAATTAAATGAACAGCAAGGTAGCACATCCCTGGTTTAGTCCAGGGTTGTGGAATCTGCATCCTTTCAGATGTTATAGGACTACAACTCCCAGAATCACTGGGCATTGGCCAAACTGGCTGAGGCTGATGCGAGCTGTAGTTCAACTGCAATATTTGGAGAGTTACATGTTTCCCAGCTCTGCTTTAGCCGCCTTTAGCCTTGGGCTGCAATCCTATGTACCTTTGCTTGGGAGTAAGTTCCACTGAATTCAGTGAAGCACACTTCCAAGTTAATATGGAAGCCTCAGAGTGCCTGTGTTGCTTAAGGATGTATGCCACAGGCAATATGGGTAAGGAATGGCAAAAGAAGCAATATTCAAAACAACCTGTTCAGTCATTATTTACTATTTGTGAAATTGTTAATTTCAATAATTATGAATCACGCAGCAAAACAAGACAGGAGAATCTGCTTGCTAAGTAATTCACCGGTCAAACATAAATAGCGGATGCTATTTAGAACCAACAACCCACACAGTGGTAATAAAAATTATCTTCAAAGTATACGTTACCTTTGGAATCTGTTGACCACAGCTCGTCTTCATCAAAATGAGCATCTCCTCCAAAATTTGGCCCAGGAGGGAAAGCATGAGCTAATAACCCAGAAGGTCCATCAAAGGGATAGAAATCACCATGCTCTGTAAATATTTGAAACAGGAAATGAACTTTATCAGCGTGCTTAATTGCAAATCAAGCAAACAAGTAACACAGCCATTAAGACAGCAATTTCACTCTAGTTACCTTTCCTTCCGAAAGAAATCATGATATCAGCAGTACCATTGCGAATTCTAGTAAAGTTGAGCGGCGTCACATCAGACCAGACCTTGAACGCTTTCCTGAATGCTCTGTCGACTTCAGACTTTTTCAGATCAGGGGTGTAATTTAGAATCCTAGGAGGAACGCAACAAAAAAAATCCAAATACCTTCAGATGGTTTTCAGTGCAAACTCAAAACATGTTGCAAAACATCCCCTGTCACAATATTTCAAATGCTGCACATCTCTCTCCACTGCCAATTTAGCATATATAGCAAGCATACAGATATATGCCCCTTTCCTGTTAGAGAATGTGTGGTTTTTATTGCTGAGTTATAATAAATTCACCTTCTTTTTTGGAAGTACTGATAAAGGACAATGACCGAGACATAATGATAGTGTCTCAAGCCTTTTGATTCCACTTAAACAGGGGCCCAATTCAAAATAGGTTTATTTCGACTTGCCTTAGAACACAAGCATTTAAATGTGTAACTTTGATTCTATGTTAAGAAGGTAGGGTATTAAAAAATAAAAATAAAGCCAGAGATATTGTTGGTCCAGCTAGATATTTAAAACTTTACTTCCATTCCTGCTTTTATTAGATACATCTGAGCATCTCATTCACAAAAGGTACTGTGCTTCTCTTATCTGATTCCTCACCCGCTGTTTGGAAAAGGAAATTGAAAGGAAATTGTGTGGGGCAAATTAAATGAACTCAAAGCTTATAGGCTTTGATGATCTAGAGACGGTAAAACATGGCATGAGGTTTCCAAACATTCCACATCTTGTTAGTCTGCAAAAACAGTATACCTGGTTGACTTCATGTCACAAAATACATGCTAAATGCCTAACCCTGCTGTAAAAAAATAAATAAATGTAGTGTATCTGGCTATAACCAGATTCAAGTCCATGCAGGGTTGGCTGTGAGCAGGATTTCCACACTGCAGGGGGTAGAACAGATGACCCTCTATGTTTCTGTGATTGCATGTTGCAAAGTGTCATGCTATTAAACATATTACAAAAATAAACCCTTTACGTACCGACTCAGCTGATTTCAATGGGCCTTACTTCCACATTAGTTTATATCCTGTTTAGGAGATTAGCTGTAGCCCCATGGTAGGCTAAAATCCAGGAATAGGAAACCTGAGGCTCTGCAGGTAGCATTGGACTACAATTCCCATCATCCCTGACTATGGGCCAGGCTGGCTGGGGCTGATGGGAGCAGAGATTACTGGCACCTTGAAGGTCGCAGGTTCCCCATTCCTGCTATAAGTCTCACATATCAGATCAGAATTAGCAAACCCCCTGAGATCCTGCAGAGCACTCAGTGACGAGTGCGCCAAACCAAAGTCTCTAAAAAATACCATGGCAGAGGTTTGGAGTTTGGATTTGATATCCCGCTTTATCACTACCTGAAGTGGCTAACATTCTCCTTTCCCTTCCTCCCTCACAACAAAGACTCTGTGAGGTGAGTGGGGCTGACAGACTTCAGAGAAATGTGACTCGCCCAAGGTCACCCAGCAGCTGTATGTCGAGGAGCGGGGAAGCGAACCCGGTTCACCAGATTACGAGTCCACCGCTCTTAACCACTTGTGCCACATGAAGATACTGTCAAGCATCAGTGCAAATGGATCTGGACCCAGAGCCAGGGTCATTACCTGTATGTTATATTAGTATGAGACCACTTCAGCTTTCGAGGGAAAAAGTTGTATTCCCCAATATCAGGAACGCCACACCGTGGCTGTTGCATTAGTTCGTACGTCTCTTCGTTGAGCTTGCCCGTTACTTCCAGTCCAAAAAACGCCTGCATTTCTCGAAGTTTGGATGTGACTGTATCACCTGCCTTCCTCTGTATCCCAGCCGGGTTGGACTGGAGGTTGTAATGCCTCTTTAGATAGCGCTGGGAAGAAAGAGGGGGAGAGAGAACCGATTAGACTTCTAATTCACTGCTATTTATTAATTTTACAGACTCACATAAGGAAAAAGGATAAGCCCCTGCTCCGAAGAGCTCAGAATCTCAGTTTTAATAGAAGAGAACAGAGAGAACAGAGCCTATTCTAGGTCCTACACCATACCTCTGCTAACTCGAATTTCTCCCTTGTGAATTCATCGCTGTCGTCTTCATCTGATATGGATATCGGCAGGGCCAAACACCATGATATGCCCAGCAAGAGAAAGAAGGCCGCTGCAGCGCTTGGATGCTTCATGATGAATGCCAAGGTTTTGGAGCTCTGATAGTTCAGCTTATAACGTGCTTTGGCTTTTATAGAGCTGCACTGGTGATTCATCATCTCTCAGAGACAGGTTACAACTTCCGAGTGACTGTAAAATAAACATGCTTGCAAGACTCTTTCCCTGCTCTTCTCCTCCTCCTCCTCCACCACCTCCTTCCCTCCCAAGAAGTCTTGGTTTGAGGAATCTGTTGACCTACTGGTGGTGCAGAAACCATGACTTCACATAAACACAGTCTCAGCATATTCCCAGGTGCTGTGGGAAGAGTTGAGTGGGGCAAACGGCATTTTTGATTATGTTGCAATAACTTTATTTGACCTGTCTCTCTCTCTCTTGAAACCATCCTTCTTCCCTTTTGTTTTCAATAGACAACTGCATTGCAAGCAATATGGGAGCCAGCAGCTTGGCTTAAAGGATTTTTCACCACATTTCTGACTTCCACATCTGTGCGCGGGGCTTTTCTCGTGTGATCATAAACTCCAAATGCCCCTAGCCTCTCAGTCAGCACCAGTGGCCTTGCCTCAAAACGTATATTGTAGAGCTGGAAAACCTTTCAGAAAAGGGCAACCTATATAATCCAGGGGATGGAGCAGCTCCCCACTAGCAGGAAAAGTTGCAGCGTTTGGGACATTTTAGTTTAGAGCAAAGTGGCTTGACAGAAGCAGGGCTTTTTTCAATCAGAATTCACAGGAACTCGGTTCCAGCACTTCTCAGGCAGGTGCCATTGCCATTACAGTGGTACCTCGGGTTAAGTACTTAATTCGTTCTGGAGATCCATGCTTAACCTGAAACTGTTCTTAACCTGAAGCACCACTTTAGCTAAGGGGGCCTCCTGCTGCTGCCACGCCGCCGGAGCACAATTTCTGTTCTTATCCTGAAGCAAAGTTCTTAACCTGAAGCACTATTTCTGGGTTAGCGGAGTCTGTAACCTGAAGCGTATGTAACCTGAAGCACATGTAACCTGAAGCGCATGTAATCTGAGGTACCACTGTATAACAGAACAAAGGAGGTGTTCATGGTGAGTTCTGGCACATCTTTTTTTTGAAAAATAGCACTGGATAAAAGGTAAAAGGTAAAAGGTAAAGGACCCCTAAATGATTAAGTCCAGTCAAAGGCAACTATGGCGTTGTGGCGCTCATCTTGCTTTCAGGCCGAGGGAAATGGTGTGTGTCCACAGACAGCTTTCCAGGTCATGTGGTCAGCATGACTAAACCACTTCTGGTGCAACAGGACACCATGACGGAAACCAGAGTGCACAGAAACGCTGTTTACTTTCCCGCCACACTTATTTATTTACTACTGGCATGCTTTCGAACTGCTAGGTTGGCAGGAGCTGGGACAGAGCAACGGGAGCTCACCCCGTCACGGGGATTCAAACCGCCAACCTTCCAATCAGCAAGCCCCATGAGGCTCAGTGGTTTAGACCACAGCGCCACCTGCATCCCTTTTAGCACTGGATAGAAGTAGAGAAATGGTAGAGAAAAGGTTCCTTTTCTCTCATAACATTAGAACTCGTGGACTTTCAATGAAGCTGAATGTTGAAGATTGAAGACAGATAAAATAAAGGACTTCTTCACATACCTTTACCTTCTGCCTTACAGTCAGAATAACATTTTTACAAATTTATTTGTTTGTTTCGCTGTTTTATTAAGTGCACTTTTGGCTCCCATTCAAAAGTGGCACTGGTTAAACACCTTCAGGAGGTGGCAGAAGAGAGGGTGGTAGATGTCAGTGTGACTGGGTTGGATCCTGAGACCCTTTCCTGAGCTATTACAAATTTAAGGCCTGCTAATGCATAACAGCATGGACTGATTTTGTGACTGCACTAAGGGAAAGTTTCCAAGATATCATGTGCTTGCGTGTGTGCTTCAAGTTATTTTGTTTGAGTTCCCTTGTGTTGGCTATTTTCTTTTACAAAACTGTGCTCCTTTTGAGGATGAGCAATGCAAAAGTGAGTAGTGATGTATGGAAGTGAGAGCTGGACCATCAAGAAGGCTGATCGCCAAAGAATTGATGCTTTTGAATTATGGTGCTGGAGGAGACTCTTGAGAGTCCCATGGACTGCAAGAAGATCAAGCCTATCCATTCTGAAGGAAATCAGCCCTGAGTGCTCACTGGAAGGACAGATCCTGAAGCTGAGGCTCCAGTACTTTGGCCACCTCATGAGAAGAGAAGACTCCCTGGAAAAGACCCTGATGTTGGGAAAGATGGAGGGCACAAGGAGAAGGGGACAACAGAGGACGAGATGGTTGGACAGTGTTCTCGAAGCTACTGGCATTGGTTTGACCAGACTGCGGGAGGCAGTGGAAGACAGGAGTGCCTGGCGTGCTCTGGTCCATGGGGGTCACGGAGTCAGACACGACTAAACAACGAAAACGAATGCAAAAGTGAAATTAATAAATAAACTAAATGAAAAAACCTGTAAAAATGTTGTTTTGACTATAAGTCAGAAGATGAAGCAAATTTAATGCTTCTTCCCATAATACTTTGAATGTTTGTGTGTGTGGCCTTTTTTTGCATACAAAACTTCCAATGCAGTGAAAATAGTCACTTCTGTTCAATGATGTTCCTTTGAATATTAAGATTTCCTATCAAAGGCTGAACTTGTTGGTCTGTGCATATTACATCAAGATTGTTTTTATTACTTCCGGACTTTGTCCATTATTCCCCATTTAGTCACAGTATTTTGCTGCCCACTATACATCCAGACTGTTGACAAAGCCATAGTCAGACAGGAAACAGTAGTGGTTAAACTTCAACCAACTTTTTGGATAATAACAGCCTTATATCAAGCCGTGCCAAAAGAGCAAAAACAATGGAAGGGGAATAGAATTAATCAACGGGCTAATTTTCTAGTTTCGTTCAGCATTACGTATAGCAGTTATACAGGGAAATCACCCATCAAATCATGAATTTCCCCTCCATGTGTTTGCAGAGGGAAGGAATTTGGACAATATAGGAGATTTACAGATTGGTTGTGCGCTCACTCCCTCTTTTATCACTCCACATTTGCCTGAGTCATAGGTGTTTATATTTATTCATTACACTACATTAACCTTTGGTAGGGTCCGCCTTTCCGTAAGCTAATGGGAAGTAGTTGTATCAGGCTGCAGGTTTCAGAAGGAGTGTCATTTTCCTGTCTCCGATCGCAATCTCTGTGCGGGTTTTGTACTGCATTTTTGGGGTATTGCTGTGGAATTGTTTCTGTAAGTGCAGTCAGGCAACCTGCTCAAGGCAGTCCCCATGAATCATAGAATTGAAGCGTTGGAAGGGACAATGAGGGGCATCGAGTCCAGCCCTCTGCAATGCAGGAATCTTTTGCCCAACATGGGACTTGAACCCCCAACCCTAAGATTAAGAGCCTCAGGGTTATCCCAGTTTGTTTAAACATTGCCAAAGAGCAAGTCTGCACGCAAATAAACAACTGGACACGGCACCATTTTCAGGGCTGGCCGGCCCATGAGGCAGCAATCGCCTCAGGTGCAGAAACCCAAGTGGGTGTCCCGGCCTGCCACTGCCAGAGGAGGAGGAGGAGGAGGAGGAGGAGGAGGAGGAGGAGAGTTTGGTTTGGATTTGATATCCCGCTTTATCACTACCTGAACAAGTCTCAAAGTGGCTAACATTCTCCTTTCCCTTCCTCCCCCACAACAAACACTCTGTGAGGTGAGTGGGGCTGAGCGACTTCAAAGAAGTGTGAGTGGCCCAAGGTCACCCAGCAGCTGCATGTGGAGGAGTGGGGAAGCGAACTCGGTTCACCAGATTACGAGTCCATTGCTCTTAACCACTACACCACACTGGCTCTCCTGAGAGATCTCACCAAAATCTCATGAAAGCTTGTGTGCTCCAGGAGGCCTCCTAAGAGCTTCATGAGCTCCTGCAAGATCTCACTGGAACACGCCGCCACCGTTGCTGCTTTGTGGGTGCCACCATATGACCCAGGTAAGGGAGGCTTCAGTGGTGGGGCGGTGGCAGCAGCAGGGTAGAACCTTTCTGCTTTGCCTCAGGTGGCATGGTAGGAAGCATTGCTCCCAACCATTTGGACCACTGTGCAATTCTTCATCCGTTTTTATGTACTTTTGGTGCAAGTAATCACGCTGCAATTGCATACCAAGATGGCCTATATCGCTCGTTTACCTAAGCTAGGGTGGCCGTGTGTCTTGCTTTACAGAGGACAGTCTTCCCACGAATTTAAGTCCAGTATAACGTTAAAGTTCTCCAAGAAGGATTAGACAAGTTCTCCAAGAAGGATTCGTGGGAAAGGCCATTAAAGGCTACCGCCTCTCCTGGTAAGCCCCGCAGAGGACCTTAAGGTCCATGAATAATCATAGTTTAGAGGTCCTGGGCCCTAAGGAAGTCAGATTATCCTCCACAAGAGCCAGGGACTTCTCAGTGATGGTTCTGACCTGGTGGAATGCTCTGTCCCATGAGACCAGGGCCCTGCAGGATTTAACTTCCTTCCACAGGGCCTGGAAGACAGAGCTATTCCGCCTGGCTTTCAATTTGAACTTAGCCTGATCTTTTATTCCCCTTCCTTCCCTCCCTCTCCCCTTTTTATGAAGATTACCCGCTCTGGGATCCCACAGCTAATTCTCCCCTGGTCTCCTTGTTGGCCCAAATAGGACTAATTTAGCCAGCTAGCCCTGGTGATCATCTAATGTTTATTGGATGGATTTCCCCCCTAAATTGATGTTTGAATTCTGAATTTATTGTTATTCACGTTTTATACTGTATTTTATGCTGTTTTTTGTTGCATCAATTAAGTGTTTTAAATTTGTTGTTAGCCGCCCTGAGCCCAGTTTTCTGAACCAGGAAGGGCGGGGTATAAATAAAAATTATTATTATTATTATTATTATTATTATTATTATTATTATTACTACTACTACTACTACTAGCCATGATGACTCTACCTTCACAGGAGGAGACAGCAATGCTTCTGAATAGGTAAAGGTAAAGGATGCCAGGACGGTTAAGTCCAGTCAAA